TCCAGAGGATTGTGTGCCATTCACAGACCTACACAGAGAACACGCTACCAAAGCAGGTTTCTTCCTTTCCACATCTGCTAATCTGTTTATGTTTTGAAGCCTGAGGATCAGAGATAGGTGTACACCTAGACACCTGAAATGTGGTGTCTTTCACCTCAAGATTTGGCTCCAAAATATTCAGGTACATCTCAAATGAAAATTAAGGCAGCCCTCGTAATGACCCCAGCCCCATGTAATAATGGCTGATCCTGCATCTCTTATATCAATGGTTTTCAACCTTTCCAGACTACTGTACCCCTTTCAGGAGTCTGATTTGTCTTGCGTACCCCCACGTTTCACCTCACTTAAAATCTACTTGCTTACAAAATCAGACATAAAAATACAAAAGTGTCCCAGCACACTATTACTGACAAATTGCTTCCTTTCTCATTTTTACCACATAATTATAAAATAAATCAATTGGAATATAAATATTGTACTTACATTTCAGGGTATAGTATATAGAGCATATAAACAAGTCATTGTCTGTAGGAAATTTTAGTTTGTACTGACTTCACTAGTGCTTTTTATGTAGCCTGCTGTAAGACTAGGCAAATATCTAGAAATGTTGATGTACGCCCTGGAAGACCCCTGCAACGTACCCCTGGTTGTGAACCACTGTCTTACATGTCTTAATCCTAGGCAAAAAGGGGGAGGTAAAAAGTCACTTTCCAGGTCTTGTATGTAACCCTTCTGCCAGGGGCTGTCAGCAGCAAAAGAGGCCAGGTTCAATTTTCAAGGGGTTCCTTCGGAAAGTGTAAACAATAGCAGCTCGATCCCTGGCCCAGAAACCTGGGTCACTATGTGTACCACCCTGGGCACCCTTGATCGGCAATACTTCCCCGCTCGTAAGCACTGAGTCCTGGGGTTTACAACAAAGAGAACTTATTAGAAGGGATGACAGAATGCACTTGGGAAAGCCAGCAATTAATCAATTGACACTTTCTATGAGGTAAAACTCCCTCTCCTCTAGGGTGTCTTAGCGATAATCCCAACCTAGCCCTCCTCTTGCCATTGTGAGTGGCTACCGCGCTCCGGCCACTGCCTTCGGCCCCACCTCCCCACTCACCGTCTGCTGTCCGGGGTTGCTGGGGTCCAAGGACCCTGGCAGTTTGGTGCTCCGGGCTGTTCCAGGGACTCCGCCTTCTGACCCAGCTGAAGTGATTTGGGCTCTGATTGCTGAGTAGGGAGGCCCCCAGCGGAGACCTGAGGTAAAGGGAGCTCTCTGGGAGTTCCGCCCCACCCACCTCAGCCTGCCACAAAATTGCATCAGCCCACTGCCTTGAAACTCTCGTAATGCAGCCGTTTAATGAGTCATCAGCAGGATATGGGACCCTGGACAAAGTCCTTCCCAGCAGAAATACACTCCTCACAAAAACTGGAAGGTCATCCATCTCTCCCCAGGGCTGCCTAAGCTTCCTTACCCAACTGTGCCTCATTACTAGGTGACCCTTCGCCCCCGGCCTATATGGTGCAGATCTTTTCTCCTTCATTTCCCAACTGGGACAAGAGTATTTTATTGACTCCAAACTCTACATGCCAAAAGGTCCCAAATTGTCACATAACTGAAATGCAAATGAGGCCTGGCCCACTCAATCCCTTGCTCACCAACAGCTGTCAGCAGAGAGCTCCATCCCCAAGGGACCCTCTGCCCCTCTGGTATTCTCAAGCAGCTCAGGGCTGCTCTTTTCTGTAGTCACCAACAAGTGTCACTAGTGAGCACTTTTTTCCCTGTGGCTTCAGGGTACAGGGCTTCATACGTCCACTGAAGTCAGACTCTTAACACTATTTGAGCCTAGCTATTTTTGGTATAGACCCAGTGGGTAAAAATCTTGGCTCTGTTTCAGTCAATGGCAAAACTCCCATGGGCCTCAGTGTAGACGGGATTTCACCAATTAGCTTTGAATTCTGAACATTAATGCAGAGGAAATCATTTCCCTGCTGCCCTGTCCACACAAAAAACTCTCATTCACGAGTTGTAAACCATCCTTTTTATAAAACTTTCTGACATAAGCCTGTTATACCTCAGCTCCCATCTGCTCTTTTCTCCTCAGAAAAGCAACTGTGTAGAATTAGTGCCATTAGACTCCATGTTTATATTCTCTCAATCCCTCCTAGTGCAAATGTGCTCTGTTTACCCATTAAAAAAATGGGTTTCCCTCAGAACTTCAATCCTGCAAACTCAGCCTGGGGGTCAAGGTGAGCCGCTAGTGACTTGTACAGCATCTCTAGTTATCAATTCCAAGATTTTGGAACCTGACCAATGATCTGAAGTGGTTCCATTTTGCAGTGGCCAACTTGAGACACCTCCATTTCAGAAGGTTTAAGATGAAAACTGACGTTCCCCAAGTCACGACTCACTTTTGAACATCTTGGCCAAGGATTCTGTAGGGCAAATTTTGCTCTCGGTGGCACCTGTATACCCTTACTGCTCTGCGATTCTGCCCCAAATTACATGTGTGCAAACTCGTGGTCTTCACATTTTGCCAACACTGACACCTGTGAAAGCACACGAATGCCTCTGGAAACAACTTAGCAATTCATTGGTGGGGCACAGCCAGAATAGACCATAGCTCGCTCTACCATAGCTGTGTTTAACAAACAGTTAAACAAGGAAACACTTACGTTTGTAACTAAAATCAGCAGGTCCAGTGGAATACACCCAGGGAACAGATCTGTTGGGTAAGAAGGTGCCATTTTTAGAGTCACTGTTCAGAGTGAAGCTTCATTAATCAAGCACGTTAAGATTATTGGACAGGAGACTTGCTTGCGACGGGTTGTGTGTGGAGGGGGGAAATACATTGAGATTCTCCATTAATAATTTGTTAAAACCCCCCAAAGGTTGGATAATCAGAGGTAAGTCTATACCCTCAATTACGACTGTAACGCAGGGAACCAGCATAGACTAAACCAATAGGGAAGCCATTAGAGAAGTGTGTTCTAGTGATGGAAGCACTGGACTTGAACTCAGGACACCTGAGTTCTTCTGCTGGCCTGCTGGGTAACATTGGGCAAGTCACTGCACTTTCCTGTACCTCAGTCTCCCTATTTGTAAGATGGTGATAATGAATGATACTTGCCTCTTTTGTCAAGCACTTTGAAATCTATTGATGAATAGTGGTATACAAAGTGTAAGTATTATTTAGTTTGCTCTTAGTTTCTTTCTCTGAATTGAAAATAAATATAGTTTAGACTGAAAGTTTATGGTTTTGCTGTGAGCTTGGGGAAAAAAGTGTAACAATATAATGTCTTAGAGAAGAAAACACCCATTTATTTTCTCAAATTTTTTTACATCATAATCCTCATACAACAGTTGTCAGCATAACATTTAATACAAATTTTTTAAAAAACACACAAAGATTACTTGCAAAATTATATATATTTTAATATCCAAAATACATTGCATATATATAGTAGCAAAAGCCCATTTCCATGGGGAAATTTTTTTAATAATTTTTAATTTTTTTGCGATTATTGCAGTAATGTTACCTATAACATTCCAAAAGCACTAATACCTAAACTGGTTAGCTTGATCTCTTTTCCCCCTTTTGTTAAATAATGGCATCAGTGCTTCTGTTTAAAGTTACGACCAAACTATAATGTTCTGTTTTAAGGTCCCAATTCTGCAAGCAAATACACGTGGACTAAACCTTGCACTGACACAGACATTCAGAGGTTATGTCTACACTAGATATTTTTGCTCCTGTTAAATGATTGCCAGTTAATTCCAAATTAGCTAATAAGCTTGCAAATACCAGTCTAAGACCTCTATAAACATTTGTTCCAAGACCTTCATGTTTCTGTCCTTAAATGAACATTCCTGGATCATCAAGTCTAGCTTCGCAAATTAGAGGTAGATGAAAATTTTGAAATGTTTGAAATGGTGATGAAAATGTTCTGCAAAAGCTTTTCACACATTTTTTTGTGTGGGGGAGGAATGTTTGCTGATTTCCATCCAGCTTGATAGAATTATAAAAATGTTTGAAAAACTCCATTTTGATGGAAAATTGTTGTGAAAAATTTGGAAAACGTTGATGCATTTTTTCAACTAGCTTGAATACAAACATGTTGGCTGACTTTTGAGTTAATTAGGAATCAACGAATTCAAGCGAAAACAGGAGCACAAACCCTGTGCTTTAGACACTCCCAGTGAGCTCCGATGTGTTCCACACTAGTATAGGAAAGAAATCTGCCAGGATCCAGTTGTGGGATCAGGGCTCTATTCCCACCAGATACGTTACATGTATCTTTTTTTCATTTTAATTTTTTTAGCAAAAAGTACAAAGCTACAGCCCAAATGTACAGATTGAAAAGATGTACAAATTACATTTAAAAAAAACCAAACAAAAAAACAAGACAAACAACAACATAAAAACCCACGAACAACTGATCTGATAGTAAAAATAACCTGCATTTGTGACTGAGGTCAACTCGTTTTATTTCATCTTTCTTTTAATATTGTGAGATATAGGGAAAAATAACTCTGCATAACTTATACAGTAAGTAGCCTTCTGATTAGCTGACCCTTAGAATGACGGTCTGACAAACGCACAGCGTTCGTGAATCGGTAGCGCTTAGCGATCCCGAAAGCTTTGGCAGAGCTCTCCAGGATCTGCTGTCGTTTATTTCATCTTTGCTCTCAAGGAATGTCTGTGCTTGATGTTAGGTTACTTTCTTTTGTTCTGGTCTCAGATGTTTCTGGAGTTAATATACAGTCCAACACAAGTTGCACACTCTAGAAAGGTTCCTTCAATGCCCTTTACTTCTTTATATATATAAAATTTCCAGTTGGGTGAAAAACCTCATTGGCCTTAATTAAAGCTAAAATTCCAGTTGCCATCCTCTGCAGCCCCAGGTCCTCACAACATAATATCTGACTCTTCCATCCCCTCCCCGAAACCGGAAACCCTCCCACCAAAAACACACATGTCATCCTAAGTCCCCGTTAAACAAACATAGCATTCTTCTAAGACCCACGGCTGGATCTATGTCTTGTTAAGAGTCTTCGGACTGCTAAAAATTTTTTTCTCTTGTCTTGTAAAAATTCAAATGCTGATAATCATTCCAGGTTGTGGTGAGCAATCTTCACGGACAATTTCTACAGAGGACATAAGTCTTAGAACCAAAATAAAAACACAGAGTACTGGCCTGCAGAGGTATCCATCTCTGAGTTCAAGATAGAAGAGGCAAAATTACAAAAAAAAAAAAAAAAAGAGAAGGTTTGATCCAAGAATAACTAATATCCAGTTTTTAATTCCCCCCACCCAACAATGGCCACAAAATACCCAAAAATGGTCCAGAAAATCCCAGAAGTAAAGAGAGCATCCAACCAGATTGATAAAGGCCACTGAAGGTACAAAACATCTAGTAGTAGCTGCCCAAGTGCGATGGTACATGAGTGTTGGGATGACGTGGGACATTGGGGTTTGGGTAGATGCTGCCCGTAGGGGAGGTCCAATAGGATGCTGCTGCTCCGAAGAAACTGGATGATGTGACAGGCATGGAGGAAGCATGGGGGGGCACAAAGTTCACCTTCTGTTGGTGGGCATGGTAAGAAGGCATATAGGAAAGATCTGATGGATACTTGTACATTGAAGACTCAGTTGGATGAGGCTGGAGAGCCTGGGCAATGCCATGAAAGTCAAATTTGTAGGCATACCTTTTGCCATGCACTTTGGTCATAATGTTCTTATCATAGTAGTATCGGAGGGCTCGGCTCAGCTTGTCATAATTCATGTTGGGCTTGCTCTTGCGCTCTCCCCAGCGCCTGGCCACCTCGTCGGGGTCTGTCATCTTGAACTCCCCATTGGTCCCCTCCCACGTGATGCAGTTGGCATTGGAACTGTCCGAGAGCAATTCAAGGAGGAACTGCCACAGCTGGATCTGCCCGCTCCCTGCATGAAGTGAGCCAAAGAGAAAAGGAAATGACATTCCATTTCCTGCTTAAATGAAAAGACAAAGCCAGGAAACAGAGGGACTATCTCAATCTTTGATGGGAAAGTTTCCTTCAAGCCTTACAAACTCTTGTGGAGGGCTGGCCCACCTATTCCCAGAAAGCAAGTCACTCAGTCTCTTCTTCCGTTTGAGGTCAGAATAGCTGATCAGAGTGGTCCCCTCTGGCATTAAAATCGACAAATCTACAAAGCATTCATAAATGGGCTTTTTATGAACATGGTCATTATTCAGAATTATTCACTGAATGGCTGACATAAACATATTTCAACCTCGCTTTGCTCACTAACTATTTTCATAACTATTGCTGAAAATACCTGCAGTTCATAATTTGCCATGTGCGGCCTTGTGGCTGATCACCTAAATCACAATATGATTTCTTCTCTCAAACTGGAGAACTCCTAGACTCTTTCAAGATGGCCGTACTAACACTTCCTGTAAGGAGGCTCATGAGAATCCATTTTTGCATGAGCATTCAACACCTTATCCCTCTGCGAACAGAACACGTGCTTGTGCAAATGTAACCCACATTAATGCCAAGGTGGGTCTTTGTCCCCCTCTTGTGGCTGGGCCATGTAAAGAGGTTACAAGATTGCAACAGCCTCGATGCTAATCGACCTTGTCCGTTAGCTCAAGCAAGAGATGCTCATGCTCTTGCTCTTATTACCAGAGGTCTGTAGATGACTTGATCAGGGGGTCATTGTGTAAACATAGCAAGCCTGCAAAGGGTGTCACCAGAGGCTAGCTAAGAGCTTTAAGCGATTTAGGTCTTCTACTCTGTGGTGTAGTAGTAAAGTTTATGGGTTCAAATCTGGTTAGCTGCTTTGAGGGGGAGGGGTAAAATGCTTGTGGTGAGCAACTTCATGCGGTGACCAATACCGAAGAAGTGACTTCATTGTTTGTATTCAAACAAAGACTATTTGGAGCTATCCACCTAGTTTTACTCTTGCATAGTCCTTGTACTATATCATTTGCCCACCCTTGCCTTATAATAGTGAAACGTCACTCCTGGGGAAGACAGTCAGCTCAAGAGCCTTCTTACTATTTAAGACCCATGATGGGGGCTGCACATGGAAGCTACCAATAGAACAGCCATGTGGAGGATCATGAAGAAATTCTCCACACCAGCTGCCATGACCAGCACAGAGGGAAGTGGTAAGGGCAGATGTGGGATCCACTCCTATGCAGTCCAATGGCCCATATACTCTACACAAGCAGCAGAGGGACAAAAGCTACGATTCCAGCCCAGTCTGGAGCAGTGGCTCATGAGAGAGTTGGCCCTTTAAACAGGAGCTGGAATTTGCCTTTAAGATCGTGGTCTGGTGTCCCCAACTGAACTCACCTGGGTTGGCTAGGCGGCTGCTGGTGGGTCCCAGAATTTGATAGGGATCTAAACAAAGAGACAAGAAATCTATTTTATACTCTACTGCACAAAAAGAAACAAAGTACTTCTCTATTTTTCTTAACCAGAATGATCCAGATGTCCATTTTCCTTCCTTTTTTACATTGCCACTCCCCTCCTACAAATCAGTCCCATTGGCCTCTTATGTTGTTTAATGAACAGACGCACATTATTTAGGGAGGATTAAATAACGTAGGGGCTGCTGCACTCTTTTCATAGAGTGTCCCACTTTTTAAGATCAAAATCCCCACTGGACACGTGCCACAGCACCAGCCACAGCAGTTGGCTGCTTGAAAACATAACGTCAGGCCAGCACAACACGATGGGATCTGAGCAAATACATTTGCTTTAATGTGAGCAGTTGGGCCACTTGCTTAAGTCTGCCTCATTTTCTAGTCGGGCTGATTATTTCCTCTTGTGTGCAGGTGGGATTTTTCAAAAACACTCCCTGTTGGCTCAGATCTGCTCCCAATGAAGTCAATGGAAGATTGGTCCAACTCAGCTCTGACTAAAGTCAATGGGTGTTTTACTGCTGATGCTAACGGAAGCAGAATGAGGCTCATGCTGAATGCTTTTTAGAAATTCCATCATGCATTTATTAGGAATGAATCTCCTCCCTTTTCCAGGGGCCCCACTGTTGTAATCTCTCTACTTCCTTTCATTGTCCCTTGGATTTTGGTGTTGGCTCATGGCTGAATTTATACCTTAACAAAGAAAGCTACAAAGCATTTGTGCAGAACACTGAGAAGGCATCATTTAGTTGGGAAACCCAACCCCTTGGGAAACCCAAGCAAGAAGTATCACTGCTTGGAGCCTGACAGGACTTGATTCTCTTATTTATGGTGCTTTGATAGTGGTGTACCTCTGTCAACTTTGTTGGAGATGCTCCCATTTTATATTGGTGTAAGCAGTGATGAGCTGCCAGAAGCTGAAGAACCGGTTCCTGCAGTCGCTCCGGGTCTTCGGCGGCGCTTTGGCAGCACGTCCTTCAGTCGCTCCCGGGTCTTCGGTGGCACTGAAGGACCTGCTGCCGAAGTGCCGCCGAAGGCCCGGAGTACCGCTGGGTGAGTAAAAATTCTCAGGGGAGCTTCCCCAGCTCAGAGCTCAGGTGGGATGGCAAGGACAGTCCCATGGGCCACAGTTTGCCCACCCCTTTAACAACCAGCTCTAAACTGGCTTCAAAATTTAACAACTGGTTTGCGCGAACCAGTGCGAACCGGCTCCAGCTCACCACTGGGTGTAAGGGAGGTTAGAATCCAGCCCATAGACCCTTCACCATTTTGGCAGAAGCAGCTCCATTGACTAGTTGCTTCAGAATCCTTTACACTGCCTGCTGTGGGATGTCAAAGGAGACACCAAAGCAGCTGACACTAAGGATTTTGGACCCTGCACATGACAAAGCTGATACAGGGATATCTCTTTTAAATGGGGGTAGGAGGATCCATAAGCAGCCAGAAGAAAGTAGTTTTGGATAAGCCTTGTTGGATGAACAGAGCTGACCAAGTATTATAAGTGTTTGAGCCCACTTAACTTGAGCCTAAGACTGTCCCAGCCTGAAACGTTACAATAACAGGTTGGGAAATTCAGTTATTTATGGGATGCAGCCGAGCACACACTGGACACATTTACCTGGTTGCGGCCGTTGCTGTTCTGTATTCTTATTCACAGTTTGAGTCCCTGCAACCGGGGGACCTGTAATAACAGGAAAAGTGAGATCGTAGATGTACTGCAAGCAGACGAGAGGGAACAATTTAGGGAACAAGATGGATGCAATGTATACATTAACATGGCCAAGCGAGTGGAGATGGGCAGGAAACAGTTTTGTGGTCATATGGGAATTACTGAGTTTTCCTACATATTTATTACCCTGAACAGGAATGAAAAGTCAAAATCACAATTTTCATCAATGGAAAAATTTTAAAGAATTTTGAATCAGGTCAAACTAAATGCTTCATTTTGATCATTTTGACTTTTTGAAATTCTTTTTTACTCTCAGTTAACCTAAATTTCGAAACAAACATTTGCTTCAAATTGAAAAATGGAATTTTTTGTTTCGAAAAGGGCAAAACAGGATGTCAACAATTTCTCAACTTTTTTCTGGAATGTTTTTTGAAACAGGAAATTTGCTAGATGAGTCTTTCCCATCAACAATTTTGGTTTTGGCAAATCAACATTTTCTGATTTAAAAAAATGGTTTTGGTCAACAAATTCCCGGCCAGCACTACAAATCAGTTCAACCTTAGCCCTAGCATCTGCTCCATCCATTCAGATTATCACTGATAACAGAGAGAATGCTATAAACCAAAGGATGGCCTTCCCATTCGGACTGAGCATTTTCCATAAAGCTCCTAAACAGAAAGTACTGATTTAGAGCCAAATGCTGCCAGCCTTACCCCAGCTGAGTCGTATCTTGCTCACGGACAACTTGTGACCCCAGGACATGTGACACCAGTGAAAGAAGAACAGAATATGCCCCAGTGACAGCCAGTTATACTAGCTGAGATAAAAATTCCATGAGCTAGCAATCCTCCTCCTTCAGGGCATAAACCTACCATTTGGGGGCAGCAGGAAATCTGGCCCCACCCCGTAGTATTGCAAAATTATCTGCATTATGAAAATAATTAACAACTAGAATAATTTGCATATCTATAGGATTTTCAATATGATGACTTCAATGTGCTTTACAAATATTAAGGGCCAGAATCTGCTATGCTTTCTCATGCTGAGTGGCACCTTTCTCCTTTGAACAGTAGTAAGGGATTGGAGTACGGCGTTATTCATCGTGATTAATGGTATCAGAATCTGGCCCAAGGTAAGGATGGCTCTAATGAATTAAGTCTCACAAGAGACTGGAAGTTAATAAGGCCTGGATCCTCAGTCATTCTGATGCCTGCACAACAAGCAAACCAAACCTAGCCCAACTCATGACCATGTTTTGATCCTCTGCCTCAGAATTTGCCACCCCCAACATGGCTACTTACTTTTGGTGAGGCTGGAGTTCATGTTATTGCCCCATCCGGCTCTCCTGACCGCATCGTAGGAGGGATCTAATGACAAACGACAAGAGGGAAGGAGGAGGTGAGTCCAGACTGTCCAAGGAAGGCTAGAGAGGTGGCTAGTTGTGATTATTGCTTAAGAAATTTCACACACGCTATAGTTACTTTGTCTCCATGCCCTGAGTTATATATGCGTTTCAGCCATCTGTTATGTATTGTACATTATAGTGCAAGGGCCTTGGGGCAGGGCCTGTCATTTTTTGATCTGTCTGTACAGTGCCTGGCACAATGGGACTCTGACCTGTCTGATCTGTAGGCACTGCCAAAATATGAATGTTAAAAAATAAGACATGGCATGGGACAAGTGGAGCTTTGGGAGACTTTGTTCAGGGAGTGGCTGGCAGAGGGTGGGAGCAGGGGTAAGGCTTGGGCCTCCATCTCCTCCCTGCACAGGTGGTGGTAGCATAGACTGGGCCTGTGCTTGACTCCTGCATGGGGCACAAGTTGGTGATGGAAGGCAGGGAGGAAAACAAGAACGCTTAGTGCCCTCCACCCTGTTTTGTACACCCATCTACTGTCAGGCACCATCTGGTCCCATGGGAATAGATGGGGTGGACTGAGGCTAAATGTAAACTGAACCCAACAAAATTTGAGTTCCCATCTAGTCAAAATCTGCCTCTCAGCTGCCCCCCACCCTCCCAAATATCTGTGCCTTCTTTCCACTTCAGAGCCCTTGCTCATCCTCCTGGCCCATTGCGAGGCAGCAATCAGGTGTGCCTTGCACAACCACCTGCTTCTCTGCCTCGCTGCTTCTTCTGGCCCCCCTGTGATTGTGGGGTATGGATCCCAAGGAGCCTGCCTTAAGAGCTGGTAAATATCCAGGAAACAGAGGAACTGTTCATGGTCTAGGAGAGACTGGATAGAAAGGAAAGTTCACAATGGAGATCATGAAAAACATCCTGATGGGGAGATGTACTGGGCTCCTAAGGGGAAGGGTGGAAGCCCATGCACTTTAACAGCTGGCCTGGGTAAAGCTTCGGAAAATCTAGGTCTCTGCAGGGAGATGTACTAGATGACTTGGTAGAGTCGCTGCCATTAAAGAGTCAACATTTCCCAGCACTTATTACTGCATGGAGTGTCTGCGATGCCACAGTGATTTCCTCACACTTAGAAGAAAGAACCTTGCTAAACACTGACTGGTGACCACAGCAAGTCTCTTCTGTCTCTGACCTCTGCGGATCATGGGCAGCCTTGAGTTATGGGTCCAGATCCCCAGCAGGTGTCAATCAGCGAAGCTCCATGCCGATTGACATCAAGTGAGGAGCTGGCCCATGATTGATTTGGAAGCTGCAGGAAACCTTCCAAGGACATTGAAGGGGCCCTGGAGGGATGCAGAAAAGCACTGTGTTAGAGAAAGTGGGGGAAACAATGGGCTCTGATTTCCCAGAAAGCAACAATGGTGAGTGAGGATTGGCTTTGGGCAAAGATGTGTCATCAGAATCCTGCATTTTAAATCCCTAGTTTTTTTATTGTTTATTGCTGAACAGTTCACAATCCACGTTTTCCCCAGCCCGTCTTCTCACTCTCATCCTGGAGAGGCTGGACAGAAAAACCACTCAAGGACCAGACTGAGAGGTAGTGAAGGGATGAGCCAGTAGGTTATTCAACATGAACCAAGCCAGGGCTTTAAACCAAAAAGGATTCCAAAGTCTCCTCGTGGATCGCAAAGAAACCATAAAAACCAGGCTAACACCCAACGTTCAAAATAACAACCACCCTCATCAGAAAGCACCTCAGCAAACGAACTGCTGCCCCCAAACTCCTTCCATGACCCCTGGAGAAAATAAGAGCCAGGAGATGGTGCTGCTGATGCCCTTGTCCATTCTCATGGTTTGGGGCTGGAGACGAGCAAGGAGACTAGAGCGAATCTCCTTGTGGAAAAATCCATGTGCACTCGCCCAGTCCATCTGGCTCTGCAAAAGCCTCTTCAGTTTTTTAAATTAGTTATTGGCATGAAACGAAAAAAAGAAAGAGGGAGCGTGGGGGGGGGGTGGGAGAGGAAGGGAAGAGAGAGAAAAGGGGGGAAAGGAGCTCATTTAACTTGTCCGTTTTTATTTTTATTTTACTGTTGTTTGTAATAGAAACCACAATCCCTGCTGCAAATAGGTCAGACTTAAAAACAACCCACTGTGTATTAAGAATCCGACAAGACATCTCTCAATGGCAGAGGCCAGTCTGGGTTTCTTGCTCGTCCAGCGGCAGGGCTGGGGACTCGTTTTGCTAAGTGAACCTTTCTGCCCGGCTAAGAGCCGTTGGTGTAAAGAAGCAAGGCTGCTATATATGCACCAGTGGAGTTTTCCCCTGCTTGAAACCATTGGTGGAAATTGCGTCTTGTGCTGTCTACACTTGGGGCTTGCACCAGTGTCACTATGGTAGTGGTTGAAATCAGAGCACAATAGACAAGGCTTAAATTGTAGCCCATTCCCCTTGTAACCAAATGGCTTCTTCTTCCCCATCCTTGGCAGCCAGCCAGTCACTTTCATTCCTCCCCTTTGATAATCCTTGGCAGGTACATAAAACTGCATATTAATTCTACGCTTTTGGCATCATTTGCCAACAAGCTAAGGCCCGGGAGCCCCACTAAAACTGCGACAGGAAGACGGCAGAGTGGCACTGCAGTGGGTGGACCCAGCTCCGGTTAAAGAAGGAAGGGGGTTGTTTCTGAGATGCGACCAGAGAAGTTTTAAGTTTCTTTCAATTTTTCTGATTCAACTCACAACTTGCCACCTTCAGATCCCGTGAGCGATGGCATCATTTCTAGATTGGGTTAGGGGCAGAAAGCAGAACCTTGCCAATGCACATGACATGACTGGCTGACCCACAATGAATCAACACAACAAAAAAGAAAAGATAACAGTAGAACATTTTGCATCTAAAGATCGCAGGCATTCCATAGCGGTGGTCTGAATAATTAGCCACATTTTACAGAGGGGGAAACTGAGGCATGGAGCAGCAATGTGACTTACCCAGGGTCATGTAGAGCCAGAGTGTAGCCCACATCTCCTGCTTGCCATTCCGGTGCTTTAACTGCAAATCAGTGCTCACTCTTGTGATCAAAAATACTGGATCAAGACACAGAGGGCCAGATTCTCAGCAGGTGTAAATCGGCATAGCTGCATTGACTTCAACCGAATGCGGCTGATTTACACCTGCTGAGGATCTGCCCTTGGGTGGAGATTGCCCAAAATGACATTAAAGTCATTAATCATTTTAAAGCTCCCTGCGCTGGTTTCTTTGCACCCTTCTTTCAAGGCAGCTGACTTGGGAGTGCAAGAGCAGTATTATGTTTACAGTAGCAGTCAGAAAACCCAGTTCAATTCCCCCCCTCTCCTCCTGTGTGACTTTGGGTAAGTTACTTAGTTTCCCTTTGTCTCAGTTCCCCATCTACAAGATGGGTATAAGATACTTCTCTACCTCTTGAGGTGGGTTGTGAGGATTAATACTTCATAAGCCCCTTCAGTACTTTTGGGAAGGGGGCTGAATAAGGTTAATAAATAGTTCCTCCATTGTATGGCACAACGGGTGAGAAGGATTAAGAACAGCAGCCAGTCATGCACGTTTTGCTGTGGAAAACAGCTCACTCGTGCTCTCTCTCAAGCAGTGCAAGTTTCCACCTCTCTCAAAAAACAAAACAATCAAATCTGCCAACGTTTTTTTTTTTTTTTTTTTCTTCTTCACAAAAAGTTGTGCAACGTGAACGAACCACAGCAGCCCGGCCAGCTTCTAGTCCCAGACTCTAAAGCTGAACGTGTTCAAAACAAAATGGAAAAGGCAGAGCCAGGGAATCCATCCAGAGACTCGGGTTTCTGCAAAAACAATATTGTTCCCAGGATCTGACGCCCAGTGGCTCAAAGAGATTCTACAGAACTCTGGCCAGACGGTTAGTTATGCAGAGAGTCGTTATCTGTCGTAAAGTGGCTCAATTTTCACCCTCAAACGCTCCAAGTTACAGAGTTTCAATTTAAAAATATGAGGCCAGGTCCCCTTCTGGTGTAAATCAGCAACTGACTTCAACTAAGCAAGGCAGGTTTACGCCAGCTGAAGTAAATTACGCCTGCCCTAGGTCTGTTTTAGACTTAAAAGGCCCATTTGAACAGCGGCCCTGTGACAAACGTGTATTCAATACAAAATGGAATTAAAGAGCACAAAATAAATCATAGATGTTTTCAAGAAATGTCATTCTGCAGCTGTCTGGTTTATATCCAGAAATTCCCCAGAATGAATGCAGACTCTATTAGAGGCAAGGTATGGGATATTAATAACACTTTGCACTTTCATAGTACCTTTCAACTGAGGATCTAACAGCTTTGCAAACGTTCATGCTTGCGACATGCTTTGGAAGGAGGTGAGGAATCATTAGTGTCATTTTATTTATTCACATTTATAAATGCACCTCTCCAGGTGCTATTATATGGGTGGGGTAAACTGAGGCATGGGGTGACCTGACTTACCCAAAGTCACACAGTGGTAGAATCAGAATCCTGAAAGTGGTTCTGAGCCCTCTGCTACAACCTTTCACCCTAAATCCCTCCCCATCGACCTCCTCCTGACTGTAGTGAAAGCCAATAGCACGTAGGACTTGGTAGGATAGGGCCCCTGATGGAATTCCTGATTCCCTGCTGGGTTACTTCAGGCTGAAGACCAGCAATTTCCATGGAGCTACACTGATGTAAAACTGAAATAACGCGGTGGCGAATCAAGCCCTTAAGGCTTGCAATAAGCAGTGGGAAGGCCTGGCTCATCCTCTCGTTGAAGTCAAGGAGGCCCTAAGTCTACTGCCCTGCTGTGCCAGGGAGGTGAGCTCTGGTAGTGGTTTCTAGGATGAGAGCACAGTTGAAGCAGGACCTTGTGCCCACCTCCTCTGACCCTTCTCCCCACCCAGATCTCAGAGCTTCAGATCCTGCACACGCCGAAGTCAACAACAAACTTCCAACCGGCTTCACTGGTGCAAGGTCATGCCCTTAGTGCTCAGCAGAGTTATCCTGTGCGGG